CACCTCTACATGTATTTTGAAGACCTCTGGGGATGGTGACTCAACCACTTCCCTGGGCAGCCTTTTCCAATACTTCACAACCCTTTTAGTGAGGATTTTTTTCCTAATATCTAACCCAAACCTCCCTTGGCTCAAATTGAGGCCATTTCCTCTTGTCCTATTCCTTGGTACTTGGGAGAAGAAACTGATCCCCATCTTGCTATAGCCTCCTTAAAGATAATTGTAGAGCGAATGTGCCAGTGCTGATGTACAGTTAAGTTTGAGCAGTACCCAGCAACACACGAGCACCCATATGCTCCACTGGGGAGCAGCAGACACTGCTCAGAAGCCCCCAATGCAGGTGGGTGGAGAACCCAAAGTCAGGTCAACACCAGAGTGTGTGAGGCCAGCTTTGGACCTCTGGGTGCTTTCCAGCTGCACGATACTGATGCTCACCCACCCAGCTCTGCCAGCTGAGGGGAGCAAGGTTGTGCCTTCACCTCTCAGGTGAGTTTTCAGGCTTCTACTGCAGCTTTTTTACTGTGCTCTTCCTTGCTGTAGCCCAGAAGATGGCTTCTGGTCAGCCAAAGACCTCTCACTCTTCATGTTTCTGTCCCAGTGCCTGCTGGCCAGCTGCAGAATGGCTTCAGGGTTAATATTCTTGAAATCACATGAAGCCCAGGCTGATAAAGAAGACAAAGATGGCAACCACAAACACTCAGGACTGGTGAGGTAAGCCTAAAGCTCTGTGCATGTGACTGAAGAAGCATTTGCTGTTTTAGTTCCTTTTATCATGTTTAGTGAAGTGTCCTTTTTTCTCTGGAATGCTGAGCCTCTTGGTTGGCACAGTTTGGGCTTTTGGCACATTTAAATATTTTTTTCCTCTGGAGTTAGGAAAATCTCTTTTTTTAGATGTGAAGTTTTTTCATGAAAAAAGAAAAAAAAAAAAGAAAAAAAAGCCCAAATCTTAATAAAATCTGAAGGTGGCAGCAATGAAACAGCAGCGAGGCTGTGCCTACAGATTTTAGGGCAGTTTTGCATTATGAAATAATGAGATCCCCAACCTATTACTAAGCTGAGTTTGCAAGGTCTCATGATGCAGCACAGTACTGGGCTTGCAAACCCTGCCTCTACTGGGGCTGTACAGCCATGCATTGGGAAGAGCAGTGCTAGCCCAGCAAGGCTGCCCACCAACACAAGCTGCCTGTGCAGAGCCCCAGCCTTAAGAGCATGTTTGTGTGCTGCTCTGCAAACAAGAGGAAGGGAGGTATTCAGGGGTGTGAGTATTTGCAGGTTTTGCCCTGTGGAAAGTTGATGCAAACAGAGCACGATGGTACTACTGTGGCTGTATCCTACAATCCTTTATAATATCAGCAGGATGTATCGTGCTGAAACTATAAATTGATTTGTGTGGGTTGGTCATCTGAGGACAATGTCCAGCCCAGGCAGCAGACAGATTCACTGTACTTAGGTTCAGAGATAAGAAGCGTCTTGATTTTTCAGAGTGATACAAGTGCTGTGTGAGGTCTGGAGAAGCCCACCTTCTGTCCTGCAAGTCCTGTGGCTCCTTCCCTAGCTTCCCTTGCAGCCTGAGCTCAGCAAAGTTCACCCACCAATGCCAGTGACTACCAGTGGTGAAGCTGTGACAGAGGGTGATAAAGCAGCAGCTATCACCAGGAGTGACCAGCATGGGGTTAACCATGGGGTTAACCCACCCTGAGGAATGTGTTGTTAGGTTTCATCCTGAAAAAGGGCACAGAACAATTAAACATCCCAGCAAGGTGTGGCAGAGGATGAGGAATAGGAGGTTCTTCTGGAGACTGTTTGAAATTCCCTTCCAGATTGCCCAACAAATTGCAGCCATGGCAGCAACAACAGCTATGATGGGGTCTTTGTGGGGGGAATACCCACCAGCTACACAGAAGGCACCCAAGGACTCTGGCTGTGGTGCTGGCGCCTGGCTTCCCCCAATTAGCTGCGTGATAGCTGGTGGGACAGGAGGCCGAGGGGGATGAGCAGGTCTTCCTGGACAGCACGGTGGGGGCTGATTAGGCAGGGACTGGCAGCGTGCTCCTGCTGCTGCTACTGCTACCGTACGGTGCTTCACGGAGTGGATGCAGAGGCGTAGCAGGCAAGCAGCAGGAGAGTAGGATGCCACATGGCGAGGAGGAGGAAAAGAAAGAGGTGGAGGAGTAGGCAGAAGGGAGATTCAGTTTAACATGGCATGCCAGGCCTCCACTGCTGCTTCCCTCCCTCAGGCCTGCTCATCATGAATTTGATTTGCGCATGGGGTGAGGGGGATTTTGTTGGCATTGTTTTATTCTAATTCTATGTGCTCCTTTACATGGCAAACACTGGTAGTGTGCTCATCGCTGTGCATATAGGCAAATGTGGTCTTGGGTGTACTTTAGTCTAAGGCCTTGATTGTGCAAACACATGAATAATCTAACATGCAAGAAGACTTAGTCATGTACTTAAAATGACACCTGCTTTTGTCTTCATCTCTCTCTTCTTTCCCCCTCTCAATATACTTTTGCTTCTGGATAGATAATTTGAGCTCTATATCTCAATTAAATTTTGAATGCAGAAAAGACAGTGATTTAAAAAAAAATCTCAGTTGAGAGGCAGACCTCAACTACATATACTCAGAAAAACAAATACCTATGCTCTGTCCCTCTGAAGATTCAGTGTAAAACACCTTCTCCAGCAGGAAAGGCTCAGGAAGGGTCAAGGCTTCGAATGATGGTTGATACACAAGGGCATTGCCATTTGAAAAGGTTTGTCTTAACCTGACCCAGAGGAAACAGGTCTTTGATTTTAGGTGTGTACTTTGGTAGATGTTTGTTTTCTTTGCTTACAGCTATTAATTTACTGTCTTAAGAAATTATATTTGGGAAAGCATGTATTGAATTTCTTAGCAATTTAGTGGAAGGCAATGCAATTACCTGTAATTCTGGAGGGGGATCAGAAAATTCACAAAAGTTAGAATGAGCATATTTATATAGTTATGCTTAAAAAATAGATTTCAAACAACATTCCTGGCCTTTGGTGTGGATGCTCAGAGTGACAGCAGACATCTCCTTCTCAGTAGCTGCAACATCATTACACAAAAATACAGAGGCACGGAGCCACTATTCAAATGTAGCCCCTCAACTTTGTGACCACAAGTGGGTTCTATTTTGGTCCTTGCTTTTGAGGCTGCTTTTGATGAAGGGATCAGAGTTTTTCAGCTCCCTGCCATTACATGTTGCTGTTGACCTCTACCTGCCTCTAGCTTTTAGAACTTTGTTTCCATTTCCATTTCTTTAGTGTGAAGGTTGGGGATGGGAATCTGTATTTTTAAAACCTCGGTGCCAACTGCTGTGTGCTGTTGTACTGTGGCTGACTTTCACCTCCCTTACATTTCCTGTTGTCTTTCTAGATGTGAATTGTCCTAAGTATCTGCTGGAGGGCATGGCCTCTGGACACACACATCTGTGGTATGGTAAATCCGGATTTGAGCAAATCAGCAACAGAGCCTCAGGAATTATTTATGCACCTAATGACCACTGATTGTAGTAGGAGGTAAGCCCCAGGCTCAGAATTTGTGCATGAGTTTTTCTGTGGCTAGCTGTGTCCCCTTCAAAATCAGAGTCTGGGTGTTCCTCTCCTCTGGAGAGATGTGTGATGCTGTGAGGCTCTACAAGGACCTCAAACAGGAAGAATTCATTAAGTCTGCTTGCTAGTATCTCCAGCAAGCCACAGGCAAGTCAAACCTTTAGTCAAATACTTTGTAATAATTTATCTTAATGCCATCACATTAGATATCCCTCATTTCTTCTTGGTTTTCTTTTCCTCCCCTCTGAGCAGACCATGGCTTTTGGAGGTCCCTGTTCTGCTTTTCCTTGACCTCCAGACAAAGTTCCCAGAAGGCTGTCAAAATCTTCAGTCCTCCTGTATTTCATGTTATCTTCAAGTGGTCTGGCTTACAGCACTGGCCCTGGAGAAACCAGCAAGGGTGTGCAGGCAGTGGGCATCTGCAAATGGGGACAGAAGCAACCTCGAGTACCATCCACGTATAGCACCGGGGGAATTTACTCAAACTGACCCTTTCTTGGTACAGCTTGGAATTACAATACTCATAATACCTGACAATAGACCTTTTAATATTGCTGTTGTTGAAAAAGAGAAGTCAGAATGCCATTGGGGGATCAATTTTTAGCAGATGAAATTTGAAAATGTTACATTTTCACTTCTGTGCCACAGCTTGACTGGGTATAACATCTCAAGGTTATAGGAACATGTTTTATGCCTCCTTTTCCTTACCACTACAAGGAGTACCTCAATCATTGCCCACCTTTATGAACCAGCCAGAGATGCAAGTGAGACATAAATGCAAAAATCATATTATCGATATTGTATTATTATTTTTCCTAAGGAAATCATCGTTTTCCACAGAGCAGAGTACAGGATTTCATGTTTATTGTGTAATAATAGCCTTGTGTTGTGATGGTAAGTAGGACACAGATACAGCTCTTCAGTGATGTACAGTACTCTTTCTTATCTCTAATTAAATGCTATTCCCTTGTATTGGAACATATTCTGTGATTACACATGTTTACTGTCTCTAAGTAACTTACCATCAAAAGCACTAACGAAAATCAGTGCCCAGAGCGACTTGTGCCTTTTGTCCTACTATCCCACACCTCTCTCATTTTTTTTTTTTAATTATTATTTCTAGTTTCTCTTTCAAAAATTAAAGGGTTGAATTAAACACTTTTGTATGGATTTCCTCCAACCATCTCTGCTTTTGATCTAGGGACATGTACCTGTCTAGCTCTCTGCCCTTCCCCAGAACAGTAACCCCTGGGGATACCATAGAGCATAGAGATGATACAATTTAATAAAGTCACAATAAAACATCCAAGGCCTTTCATACTTTTTCACTTTCTTTAACTCAATTTATTTTTCATTTCATGGACAGAGATTTAGTCCTGGTATTAGTTTATGATTTTGCTGAAAGAATTACTGAACACATACAAAAAGGAAATATTATTTTTATTATTTATTTTGTGCCATGTATACCATAGGAAAAAAAAAAAAGAGTTGAAATCACTTCAGTACCGCTGTGTTTTTCATTACAAAGTTATTACATATAGAAATTACTCCAAATTATCTGAAATGAATGGAAATTATGAGGTTTAAATTCCCCAGGTTACTGCAAGCACAGCACTGGAAATTTATTTTGTCATCTTGCTGAACATAATTGCTACAACAAAATTTCTTCCATTTTACAACCGCAGCATAACTTATTTATACCAGTGTTGTTGTAATTTTACATCAATAAGTTGCATGGGAAAGAGTACACAGGTGGTAATTGAAAACAATAATTTGTAGTGGGGTCCAGGTGGAACAGTTGGCTCAGAAAAGACTTCATTTGCTGCTCTGTAGATGCTTTGCATCTCTGCGGCCTCTGAGTATGGTACCACCAACCCTTTGGTCCACCCAGCTCTCAGGTGGACCAGTTCATCCCAAACTTCAAAGTGCCAGGTGAGGAGTGAGGAACAACCCACCCAGTGTCCTGGTGGTGACCTGTAGCTCCCAAGCAGAAGGAAAGTCAAGGTGTCTGGGGACCTGCGAAATCAGAGCAGGGACAGTGGCAATCAGGATCCTGATGCCAGGATCACGCCCCTGCCATCACCACTGAGGCCACCTCCAAAGAGCTGAGAGGGGAGGAAGCACAGACCAGCCCTGGGCGTCTTGTTCTGGGGTGTGATGGCCAAGGCAGCTCCTGCCCTGCTTTTCAGCTCTGCTGTCCTCGATGAGTGCAGAGATAGGTGGCACTTGTTTGTCCACGGGAATGCTGTTATTTGATCATTTTCAATTAAGATGTGAGTAGTTGCCTGAGACACGAGCAATGACGTTCACATTCATACTTTGCTTCACTCTGTGTGAACAAGAATGTGTAATTTGGGTGCAATACACAAGCACTCCCAGGCCAGGCATCTGCACTTCTCTGTTCCCTAATTGTCAACAGGAATAATGAAACTGCAGAGGCTGCTACTGAATCCAGAAACCGATGAATTTCCCTGTTTGAGTTCAGCTGCCCAAGTTAAAATAAAAATAATAATAGCAATACTGATAATAACAACAAAAACAAGCAGCACCACCATTCATGTTACTATGAATACACCCTATTTGAATAAAATAAAGTAGGAAGAACAGAGAGGAATAAAGAACAAGAATGAATGAGGTGCCTTTCTTTTCTGATGTTCAGATTCAGATTTTCATGATTCACAAGAGACAGGCTGGAATGTTTCTGTCATGAGTTCAAGCTGAAGATTTCATTGCCACATTCAAAGCTTAGAGGCCTTTGTTATTTTAAACAATCCAAAGATTTCAAATCCTCTTAAAATCATCTGAGAAGAGGGAGAGAAGAAATTGGTTGAAACTTACACACTTACACTTGAAAGCAGAGGAGAGCTGTATGGATCCTGTATTTCAGGACATATAAGATCCAAGGAGTATGTATGGAGGAGGGGTTCTTTGTCCCCTCAAACCGAGTTTGCCACACCGAGTTGTGCATGAATCTCTGGACAGAGGAAATGTTATGCTTTTACATAATGGAGGACAGTTTTAAAAGTACTTCTTTGGAGGAAAATATGTCTCGGTTTCTAGGAGGATGTAGTGTTATTTATTTATTTTCAGTGAAGCCTGTGCTAACTAGTGCTGGTTCACAAAGCTCAGCTTACTGCATTGAGCAGTGATGGCACTTGCTTTCCAAAGACACAAACAATCCTTGGACTGAATTCGTTAGGGAATTCATGCCAGCTTTTTTTTTTTTTTTTTAAAAAAAAAAAAAGCCTCCCCAGCAACAGCAGATTTTGCCCATCTTCTTTTATTTTATTTATTTATTTATTTATTTTGGTGAATAACAATGACAAGCCCAAAATTATGTGGATGCCCAAGTGGCATCCTCGGTGGCATCCTTAGTTACAGCAGATGGGACGCCTGACCGGTACTGGGATCCTGGAAGGTGTGTTCCCCTCTACCTTTGCCTGTGTACACGCAGATGCAGGTGGCCTGGTGTGGGATGTGTGCTGATCACCCTCCTCTCACTCTGACATGGCTCTGAGCAAATTGAGGTGCTAGAGAAATTTATTACAGGGCTTTCAGAGAGAGCCTCAAAGGTAGGGGCAAGTCTTACTCTCCCTGTAGTCCCTGGGGGTCTCCTCACAATGGGAACTCAGCTGATTTTCTACTGCTGGAAAGTCTGAATCTCAAACAGACCAAATTATGTCTTTAGAAATGTACTTTTTAAACTGAAGAAGGAAGTCAGGCCCCAATCCTGCATTTTGTCTGATCAAAAAAAAAAAATCAAAAATAAAACCCAGTGGTTTTCTTCTTGCTTGCTGGTTCTGTGATTCATTTTTTGGGGTGTGTGTGTATGTGAGTGAAACAGGCATTGCTTTTGTTTTTGTTTTCCTTGTTTTAAGTGAAAAAAAGGTTTGGAAATAAAACTGAGTCCCAACATTTGGACAGCTATCTAGTATGCTTACCACTTGGGAAGAGTTGGAAAAATGAAGGATTGTGCAGGGAAGAAAAAAAAGTAAGAATGAACAAACAAACAACAAACAAAAAACTCAGGTCCATTGAATAAGAAGGGGACTCTGGGGAAGGCTTAGAATGTAAATGTTGAGGAAATCTCATTTTTGAAATTCACTCCTGGAAACATTAGCAAGTGACAGCCACCAAAAATGAAGGGACACCAAATGTCTTGAAAACACAGTACAATCTGCATCACTTTTGCCTCTTTCCAAAATGTCTCAGGAATGAAGCAGGGGATAATACATTATCCTCTTAAGCCTTCATTTCACTGCACCCTAAAACGTACCAGTGTCATGGAAAAGAAAATCAAGTGAATAAATGTTGCAATTTATATATATTTGAATAGGTAACAAGAACAATTTTACTGTTTGCCATAAATGAAAAAAAAACACCAAATCATTCCTCTGATTGAGGTTCTGAAGCTCTGTTTACGGCTGCAAAGTGATTTGATACAAAAAAATTACACATTTTGAGTTATTATATCACCCAGAAATTTGATGCCACTTAACTATGTAATTTTCAGAAATGATATAAAACCATTGCAGAAAAATATTCAGGGAAGCCCAAAAGACCTCTTTTTATCTTTTTTTTATGGGTCTAAAATGAGAACTCACAGAGATCCTTGCACTGTATGTGAAGGCTGAACTGCCACCTCGGGAGCTTTATTAATATGTATGTAAATATGATCTGGTTAGATCCTGTGCTTCTGTGTCTTTTCACAAGGTGGAGCGGCTAACTAAGCCGATCAGATCAACGCCCTGTGTTTATTCTTCATTTTTTTTTTTTTCTTTTCTTTCTTCTTCTTTTCTTTCCCAAGCATCAACATTTAAAGATTCAAAGAGAATGAGGTCAGCAGCCTCATTCATCTCAAGACTGTCTCAAACCTCTTTCCTTCCTTCCTTCCTTCCTTCCTTCCTTCCTTCCTTCCTTCCTTCCTTCCTTCCTTCCTTCCTTCCTTCCTTCCTTCCTTCCTTCCTTCCTTCCTTCCTTCCTTCCTTCCTTCCTTCCTTCCTTCCTTCCTTCCTTCTCCTTCCTTCCTTCCTTCCTTCCTTCCTTCCTTCCTTTTCTTCCCTCTCCCTCTCTTCTCTCTCCCAACTCCCAGACTTGTATCAAAAACAATCTACTTAGCACAAGCTTTCTCAGTAAAGATTGGGAAGAAACTAAAATCACATCACACAGAATCTGCAGCTCCATTTTTTCTTCCACTGAAAAGTTATTTGAGCAAATGGGGAGAAAGTGGAAATGCATTCAAAATGTGTCCAAGTGACACAACAAGCTTATCTTCCGTGAGGATATCGGGACTTCCTCTTTACACTGATCCCACTGTTATTTATGTATCTACATCCGTGCCAAATTTTAGCTAAAGACATTGCATGATTTTGAAAAATGAAAAGAAAGAGAAACCCAGAAGCTGAGAATGTGTGTGCTGAGAGTTCTTGACTCAGCATGCCTCGCGTGTAGGGTGAAATGGAATATTTAACATCGTATTAGCTTGTTTTCCCCTATGATAAGGACGGTGTTTCTAGATGAGAACTCTTCAAATCCCTGGCATATTATGAAGACAGAGAAGATGATTACCCTAATACAAGATATTTTGTGCATGCAAGCGCTTTCCCCTGTAATTTAAACAAGGGACAAACAGCAAGCAGCACCTTTAGAGAGAGCAATGAGCTTGCTCTCTTCTTGCAGGTTATGTTCCCTCTTTACCTTTTTATTTTTTAATTTTTTAAATTTTTAAATTTTTAGTTATATTTTTTGGCATGGGGAGCCTCGTCTCCTGTGTTGCAGGCCGGTGGCGGGGTGGGGGCCGGGAGGACACCGGCCCTTTCCCCATCGCGGCCGTGCTGCCCAGGACAAAGGGGGGCGATGCCGGGGGCAGCCCTCGGGGACCCCGAGCCCTCGGCGGGGCTGCTGCGGCGGGGGGGGGGGACAAGGCAACGGCGGGGCCAGCTGCAGATGGAGGCGGGTCGAGGGATAGGTCAAGGTTAGAAAGAGCCTGCTATTGATCTGGCTTTGAACGCGAGACAGGGAGAGCAGAGAGACTAAAGGGGGAGCTGTGAGACAAGACATTAACAGCTTTCAGTGCTAATGATCACAAGTGCCAGACAGGGGAGGAAAGAGGAGACTGAGAAATCACTTTGGATTTTTTTTTTTATTATTCCTCCCCCCTCCCCCCCTTCCCTATTGGGATGTATTTTCGGAGGGAGGAGGAGGAGGCGGCCGGAGGAAGGTTCACCCCGGCAGCCCTGCCCGCAGCCTGCGAGGCGCTGCGGCCGGGAGGGGGGCTCCGGCGGCCCCCCCGGCCCGGGCAGCCCCTGGTCAATCATTGCCGGCCCTTATCTCCCGCTCCGAGAGCCCACTGGAAGACACTGGTTAATCAACAGATGATGCCCAGCAACTTCCCGATAAGCTCCCTGCGGCTCGCCGAGAAGCGGCTGCGCTCTCTGCGAGCCGGACTTTGCACCTCCGAGGGCAAAAAGTGCCCCCCCGCCCCAATTCCCCTCCAGTTCCCCTCTTGCACTCACTATCCCCTCGCCCTTAAGGAACAGGGGGACAAGGGGAGGGCAGCCCCCAGCCCTGGGTGCAGAGGGCAGCTCAGGGGAGCCCCTTCTCTTTGCTCCCCCGGCCCCGCAGGCTCGGCCGAAGCATCCCCGAGGGGGCCACCCCCGTGTGTCCCGGGGGCCTCGGCTACCATCGTCCCCCCGGCACAGCTGTGCTTGGGGCTACAGGCCCCCTTCATTCACCCTGCTCGTTATTTTTTTTTTTTTCTTTTTTTTCCACGCAGGACCCCGGGAAACCACGGCGAAAACCTCACTCGGCAGCTTATAAGCGTTGCTCGCTGCGGTTTGCCGTGTGCTGGTAGCGGCCGAGGGCTGAGCCGGGGCGCGGGGGGTGGGGGGGGGGCCGAGCCCACGGAAGGGCCTGGGAACTGGGGGGCCGGCTGGGCGCCCCGTCGGGGATAGGGGGCTGGGGACAGGGGACAAGGGACAGGGGACAGGAGGCCGGGGGCTGGCAGCAGCGAACCGCGAGGTGTGAGCGGGTGTGCGGGTGGGGATAGGGAAAGGCAGATTTGCTGGAGGAGGCGAGAGCGGGGCTGTTTAGCCAAATTTTCCTCAAAGCTGATTAAGGGCACCGAGATGAATTCTGGTCCCCTAAGGCTCTCATGCGATTTCATACCAAAAAAAAATATAAAATAATTATATATTCATTTAACGGAGAAAGTAAACGACACGACTGCAGAGCGGCTCTCCTGGCGTGCTCCGGGTGGAGGCTGGGTTTCTTGGGTTTCTGCTCCATCTGCCTGCAGCCCCCAGCCCTCCCCCTCTCCCCGCTCCTCTCGCCCTGTCCAGACGTGGTGCTGAAAGCTCTTTGCACGAGCAATTTGCTTGTCTGGGGAGGGAGAGAAAAAAAAATAAAATAGAAAAAAAAAAAGAAAAGAAAAAAGATAATCGGAGGAACTGGGCTGGGAGAGCGGAGGTAGAGGGGAAAAAGTTGGTTCCCAAGAATCTCCCAAGTTAGAGGCGCACGCAGCTGTGGGCATTTACCTGCGTGGGAAATAGGAGGAAAAGTGCACCGAGATGCGGTCCCTGGGAACTCGGCGTCTCCCGATTCGCGGCCGAGACTTTAATTCCTCCAAGAGAAATCCTCGCCGCCAGGATTTTAAGGAAAAGGGGGTGGGAAAGCAGGTCGGAGTGTGTGTGTGTGTGCGTGTGCGGCTCGGAGCGTGTGCGCGCGTGTCCCGCTCCCATCACACTTTTAGCGAGAGAGGAGGAAAGGAAAAAAAAAAAAAAAAAGGAAGAAAAAAAAAACCACCTCTCCCCAGCCCACACAGACACTGGTGTTGGTGCAAAACTGTTGGAAAGAAACGCAGGGGGAACGCGCCGGCCGCCGAGGAGCTGCGGCGGCGGCCTGGAGGGACGGGCTGCCCGAGCCTGCCCGCGGCTTCTGCCGGCTCCGCACCGCGATGGGGAACGGCGGGGGCACCGGCACCGGCCCCGGCTCCCCCGGCACCGGCAGGGGCACGGGCACGGGCAGGGCCGGGCGGCTCTCCGCATCCTCCCCTCCGCGCCTCCATCCCTCGGCCGCCGGCCCCCGGCAGCCGCCCCCGCCCCGGGCCGCCCCCGGCCGAGCCCCCCCCGGGCTCGGGGAAGTTTGGCCGTGCGGGAAGGATGCGGCTTTCTGCTCCCCCCCCCCTCTTTCCCCTTTCCCTCCGCTTAGGCGAGAAAGCAGCAAGCGCACAAAGCCCGGAGCTGCTCCCCGCTCCGTGCATGTGCTTTAGTTTGTGCGCGAGTGTGTGCGAGCGCGTGTGTGCGAGTGTGTGTGCGTGTGTGTGTGTGCGAGTGGCGTTTCTTGTTCTCTTGCAGGGTACAATGTTAAAAAGCCACCGCTAGTCGCCCCCAGTGCTCCTACTCTCTGGGTCTTTTTGTCTCTAGTGCAGATTAAACGTCACGTCCGCACTTGAACTTGAATTTTATCCCATTGTACAGAGGCAGCCCCAGCCATAGAGAGACAGAGCGCTCCCAGAGAACCAGGACTCCGCCATCTTCACATTGCAATATATAATAGTAATAGCCAGCACCAGCCCAGCTGCACTGGGGGCTTCCTTCCTTCCAGTCCCAGTGCCAGGCGAGGGGGGAAGAGTGCAAAGTGGTGCAGGAGCACTGGCAATCCAAAAGCACCAGGGCAAAGCAGTGCCACTTGAGCTGGGAAAGAGGAGACACAGTTTTGGCTACCCCTTTTCAAAAAAAATCTCTCTATATATCTACCCAGCAAGGGTCAATCTCTGAAAAACATTTTTTTTGGCATTTTTTTTTTTTTTGTGTGTGGGCAATCCCAATTCAAGTACTTTTTTTTTTTTTTATATTCCTGCTTTTTTCTTTTTTTTTCTTTTTTTTTTTCTTTTTTCTTTTTTTTTTTTTTTCCTTTTTTTTTTTTTTTTTTTTTTTTTTTTTAACCCTCCTGGTGGAAAAGCGCACTTGCCAATTTGCCAAGCACTCTGGAAAGAGGGAAAGAGAAAAGTGTCACTGGCGGTGCATATCCTCCTAAGTTCAAGAAGAGATTTGGAAGTCCAAGTGGCAGAAGCGGTGGAGAAAAGACAGTGTGTGAAAGAGAGAGGAAAAAAGAGCGAGAAAGCTTTTCCTGATGATGATGATTTTTAATTGAGAGGAGATCCCATCCAGTGCACCACAGCAGCGACAAAAAGGAGGTGTTATTTTTTTTTTTCTTTTAATTTTTATTTTTTTGAAAGAAGAAGAACTCGGTAAAGAAGAAGAAGAAGAAAGAGGAAAAAAAAAGAGGAGGAGGATCGGCCCCCAACACATCCCCCCAGACCAGTGCAGCTCTCCAGGCGATGCCAGTGTAAATGCCAGGGCAATGTCCCGTCGCAAGCAGGGAAACCCGCAGCACTTGTCACAAAGAGAGATTATCACACGTAAGTTTGAACTTGGAACCAGATCGAGCCGAAATCAAGGAGCAAAATTAGGGAAGGGGAGGAAGCGGGCTTGGGGGGGGGGGGGGGATAGGGGGGGGCTCCAGGAGAAACCAAAGCTAGTAAATGACTTCAGAGAGAGGGAGAGGAGAAGGGAATTAAAGAGGGGAGGGGGGTGTGCGGCTAGGGGGGATGGGCTGGGGGTGGAGGGGGGGGAGAAGCCCGAAGTTTTGCCGTGCGTTTGCAGCGGTGCGGAGGTGAGGCGGGCGGGCGGGCAGCGCCGAGCGGTGCCGAGCGGAGCGGGGGAAAGGCGCTGCCGGCGGGGGGCGGCGGGGGGCTCCCCCCGAGGGGACGCGGGGCCGTGCCGGGCCGGGCCGGGCCGTACCGGGCCGTACCGGGCCGTAGGGGCTCCGCAGCTCGCCCCCGGCCCCGCTCCTCGCTCTCCGCACCGGGGTTGCAAAGCGGAGCGCTGGGAAAAGTTGGCCGGGAGCCTGGCATCGGCGTGACAGCCGGGGCTGGTGGGGGGGGCGAGGGATGCGGGGGGGGGTCGGGGAGGATCAAGGTGGGCAGCGGGGCCGGGGAGGGGTGTGGGGGGAAGAGGAGAGGCCGGGGGAATTGATGGGAAGCACATGGAGGCGGTGGGCCGGCCGAGAGGCAGGCGCCGAGCCCCCCGGTGCGGGGCAGGTAGATGGGCAGGATGCAGCCCCAGGTGCAGTGGAGGGGGGTCCCCGTCCTGCAAAAGGCGGGGGGAGGCACGACGGGCTCGGCTGGGGCTAGAGGCAGGGCAGGGGGTGCAGAGGAGCCGGGGGAAGGCGGGGGTGCCTGCTGGGGAGCGGAGGGGGGGTGCAGAGAGGAGAGCCGAGGCGGCGGAGGGGGCACGAAACGCGGGCCGGGCGGCGGGGCAGCAGCGGGGGCTGCACTTTGCCGAAGCTCCCATTGTGAAATGCAAACACACATCACCACCCTCCCCCCCCCCAAAAAAAAAAAAAAAAGATAAATCGGAGGAAGGGAAGGAGCCCCCCCGCCCCCCCACCCCCCCCAGCATCCCCCCTCTCCTCCCAGCTCCCACCCTACACCCTACAGAGGGGCGAGCGGGCGGCTGTAGGCAGAGCCGGGGCAGGTCTCCCCAAAACCGGGCTCCCCTCTCTGAGCTCCCGGGGCCTCTTCCACGGCTGAAGGGGGGGCTCCGGCTGAGGACCCCCCAGCACTCCCCGCTGCTCCTCCGCCACTGGGCCGCGGGGACAACCGGGGGAGGGGGGGTCCTGCACTTCCCCCCGAAAGCATCGGACCCGCTCGAGGTGGGGGGTGTTAGGAAAGCAGAGCAAGCCTTGAGGAGGTTGTTGGGGGGAGCTGAGGCCGGTTTGAGGCCCCGCACCCCACCGGGGAGGCCGGCCGGACCCCCCCCCCCCCCCCTCGACGTGTCCGCAAGTTGCTGTGCTGCGGGGGGCGGCGGCGCGCACGGAGCCAGCCCCGGGCTGAGCCTGAGCCGCGGCGGATCCGAATATTTATGTTCCGATTTTAAAGAATTTAAATAAATAAATAAAATATTCCCCCGGCTTCTCTCCCCTCCCCTGAAAGCCAAGAATAGGAGCCATCTGCCAGGAGCATTTGGTGCTTGCGAGCTCCTCTCTTTCTTTGTTACCGGTGATAAATTTCTGTTTGTAAGATTTCCTCGCGACCCGATGTATATATACCTATATCATTTTTCCACTTCCCGGGAGATTTTTTGTTTGTTTGTTTTCGTAGGTGAGGGTTTTGGGGAAACGGTGCGAGTCCCGAAATTTCAATTTCTTTCGCTCTTTCTGTCTTTCCTTTTTTTTTTTTTTTTTTGGTGTGCTCCTTTATTTTTTTAACCCGTTCCTCCCCCCCCTCTCCCCCCTCCCCCCGAGCCCATCAGCTGGTGGAACACTGGAACACAAATGAAGATGCATCTGGTATTCAGCTCTCTTTCTGGGGGGTTTGTTTTTAATTCATTGTTATTTGGGAGCCAGATTTGCATCACCATAAAAGGTGGATTCCCCCCCACACACTCCCTCTTCATTAATTGCATTTTTGTTTTTAATCATCCGGTTCAGAAAACGCGTTTCCCTTTTTCTTGGTGCTCCCCCCCCCCCAACCCCCCCCAATTTCTTATTTTTTAAGAAAAAGCATCAACAACCTGAACCCTCTCTAAATCGCCCTGTGCAATTTCTCCTACTTCTTTTCTGTCTCAGTTGTGAGGAGATGTGGGGTGTTGAAAGGGGGGTGTGCGGAAAATCTGGTTTGTTGCGCACGTCTGAATTTGTTTCAAGGGGTGAAACATTTCTTTTCTTGCTGCTGTTTCTGCTGGGGGGGGGGGGGAGGTGGGGTGGAGGAGAGAGCCAGGTAGGTTTGTTCTTCCAATTTGATCTCCTTTTCCGATCGCTTTACTTGAAAGTAAATAATGAGGCAGGAGAGCATTAAAAGGTGCTGAGGAGCTGCGTGTACAATGGGTTTAGCGGGGAGGCTGGGGAGGAATGGAGAGCAGAGCGGTACGCAGCTTCCCTCCCTCCCCTCTTGTATTTATCTATCTCTCCATCCTGAGGAAGCTGGCGGAGAAATCAGGCTGCATACTGAACAGTGGCAGAAAAAAATGAAGGTATCCAGGGGAGGAGGGGATGGGAGCCGGGGGGGGCTGCGGCTGGGGCTGGGGTTGGGGCTGGGGGGAGCAGGAAGCGCAGGCATTTTAGCGCACAGGCGCTGAGCCTCAGCTGCAGGCGTGCAGGAGGGGGGCTTGCCATCCCCGCACTTCTCGGGAAGGTGTCATTCGTGGGGGCAAAGCAGCCAGCAGACCGGCCTCTGCGAGGGGGAGTTGGGAAAGTAGCAGGCAGCGGAATAGGAAACCAAAACACTTGCAACAAAATAAACCCAGCCCCAAGCCAAGCCCCCAAAGCTGGGATGAATTGGTGCTGTTTCCTGAAATCTTGCATTTATGTCATGTTTAGCTTGGGCTTTTTTTTTTTTCTTTTTTTTTTTTTTTTTTTTTTCCCCTCTCCCTCTTTGGCATCTGTCAGGAGAGTTGCATCTCAGGATGGATTGGAGGTCTGTGCCAGGCAAAGAAAGAGAGATAGGGAGAGAGATGAGGAGAGAGAGAAAGAGAAGGGTTTTCTGACACCGCTCAGCTGGAGTTTATTGGGTTTCATGCTCTTGGTATTCAGAGAAACGTTTAGATCCTGAGTGTAAGACAAACAAACAAACACAAAAAGCAGAGAGGCTGCAACGTAGCCGTGCTCCAGAGTTTCAGTGTCTCATTTGCACAGTGGTCTTTAAGGCTGCAAAACTGAGTGGCCTGTTTGTCCTTGCCAGGCTCGCCCAGGCAGCCTTGTAATAGATGCATGTGCAGCACAAAAAGAGGAGACACACGTGGGGAGAAAAGAGCAGCTCTGGACCTCTCCTCAGTGATGGTGGACAGAACAAACTTGGTAGCTGAGCTCACTTAAATGGGTGGACAAAGCAAAAGAGGCAATTAGGTAGAGAAAGAGGAAACTGAGCTGTAGAGCTGCTCTGTGCAAAGAAACGTTAGTTTGGTTTGATTCAAATTGCTGATTTTCCAGCTTAAGATCTTCTTTTTTTAACTTGAGAAATCTGCTTTCAGACTAGCCCTGCATTTTGCATTTGAAGGAAATGCGAAAAATGAGAGCATGTGAAAAGCTCACTGATAGCAGTTTTGCAGAAGGCGGCAAAGCAAGAACGTTTCTGTAGGGCAGCAGCAAAGGCTGGGAGGGAAAGGCAGAGTGAAATCATACAATGATTTCCACCTGGAGGTGGAGAGCCAGGTTTCCCAAGAAGGCTCTTCAATACCTGGTCAACAGGTTCCCTAGGAAGAGTAATAATTTCCTATACCATTTTGTATTTGTATGTAGTCATTAGAAATAATAATGAAAAACACTAGGATTTTTTGCATGTCAAAGTTTTGCAGATTGCTTCAAGGAGCTTCTCTTAAAATGCATTTAGATTCAGTGCAATTAATACACTTTTTTCACAGAAAAAACCCACACCAATGTAATTAACTCTCATGCAAAGAGAACATAAGCTGTGACTGAAGATTTAGAGAGGAAATTATTTTGGAGATGGCTGACTTTTTCATAATACCCGCACAGTTGTGCACAGAAAAGCCTAACGCGTTTTTGAAAGACATTACATGTGTCGGCTTTAAATAGGACAGGAAAAAAAAAAAAGAGGTTGCGTGCGGTTGATTTCCAGGTTGCTTTTCATTTGGATATATTTATATCTGACATGTAAGATGAAAAAAATACTGGCATATTTTCATAGTTTCAGGTGTTTAAAAATATTTTTGAAAAACTGATGCGGAGTAACTAGATTGTGGATCCTGATTGTTTTGTCCTTTTTGCTTGATGTGCTCAGTGGCTTAAATAGATGTACAGCGGGTGAGAAATCATTTTGCATTTTTTCGCTGGTCGGCAGATGCAGAGCATATTTTGTCAGGCTTATTTAAATATTGAGAAATAAAGTCTTAAAGCTTTTACAACCTGGCTGCCTTCAAGCAGGAACGGTTGGAGCCCTTGTCTTGTGCAGAATGGATGCTCCTCCGCAGAACAAAGGGTTGTCTTGTGGCATATATGACAATAATTATGACTTAGAGGAGTGTGCGCTCACACAAGTACAAATTATTGATATCAGTTACCGACTTCGGTTGACACCTCCTCGGCAAGTCTTCCTCGGGCCGAGCTCGCAAACCTTTTCGGTCAACCAAACGCTTCGCACAGCTCGCCGACTTCCCTTCCCCGTTTCCTATCTCGATCGCTTTGCTCTCCGCGCTGTTTGTTGATAGAAAAGACTTTCCAAAATAAACTTTGCTGGCTCGCAGTTGCCTCGCAGGGCTGCCTGGTGCCCCGGCCGCAAGTGGCGGCTGCTGACGACTAGGGGGAGCTCGCAGCCCGTCTGATGCGGGGACGGCGCCGGCCCCGCCGCCGCCGCTGCTGCGCGGGATGCTCAGCCCTGGGAAATAGCAGCCGGAGCTCAGG